GAGGGGGGCGGGGAATGGAAAAGGGTCACTGCCACCTATTCAAGTTTGGTAGCACTGAGGGAAGACTCCCCTACATCATTCGGCTGCCCTCCTGTAGGTGGTCTGCTGCTCAAGCAAAGCAGCCAGTTGAACACACAGCTCTGCAAAGCTCATCCAAATGTTCTACCATCACTGCTTATTAGCCAATTTCTCCAGCACTATGTGCACCCACCAGTCACTGCTCATCCCTTCGCCAGTACAGTCTGCATCACAGAGAAAGTTATCCTTCATGGTGTCACCCTTGGGCATGTTGGTGGTGGTGGTGCACAGAAGGTAGCACATCTCTAGGAGGCATCTTTCCCAGGTCTCCTTCAAAATGTATTGTGCTGCAATGTTACTTCCTGCCAGCTGGTAGATAAGCCAGATGAGGACTCTCCACCTTGAGCAGGACAAGAAGGAGAGAACTTCCTGCTGCTGTTTGGTCAAAGTATTGCAGGAATGGAAGGCTCCCTGCGTTGGCAGTATAACTGAAAAACCCCTTCAAGGTGAAGCTGACCGGCACTACAGAAGCAGTGGACACCCATGACACGTTGGGCAGCCAGATGGGAGGAAGCAGACAGCCAATGAACAATCCTCTGCATTTGGCAGTCCTTGGGAACCTCTGGAAACTTGGGTCACAAAGGCATACTGTGATCTCTGCTCTCCAGCCCCAAGCTGCAGAGCTAAAGTTGAGAGGGGCCTGTACACCTGTATGATGCTCAAACTATTCAAACTGGAGCAGAATTTGAAGCACTTCAGAAGAACATTTGTCCATACCTACAGCATTAATTTCATTTTACTGATAAGGAAACAGACCGAGAAGCATAGCAACTTGCTCAAGGTAACACAGGAACTCAGTGAGACCACCAGGACTCCACATACTGATCACAATTGGATCCTAGGAACATTTTGTTGAAAGTGTCTATATCAGCCACCTTGGTAATTTAAACACTTTAACAAATCACACTGGATTGGATTTTTTGTAATAAATAAATAAGTGGCAGCATTTTCAAATCATTCTACCAACATGTTTGTGATAAGCACCAGTACAAGTATGCAGTCAAAATAATTCCCTTCAGATTGTGCCTATGTTTTCCAATAGCTGCCAAGTTTTTTGTAAGATCAATATGCTGTTAGGTTCAAAAAAACCTGTTCAGGAAGTACAGAACCAGCTAAAAATGAAAGGCCGCATACCCTTGGTTTTACAGTAATTTTTGTTTAGTTATGTGTGAGGATGGGTGGGGGAAGGCTAGTTTCTGTTAATTTTAAATGAACAATCCAATCACCAGAACCCAGCATAGCCACAGACACTCCTTCCTTTCATGGCATCCATGTTAACAGAAGATATGGACACACATTTGGAACTGTTTCAAAAGAGCATCAGCTGTTAATTCAAATTGTCACATGTGGGCAAGTTGGGAACAATACAAATATAGCAAAACTGCTCCAACTTCAAGCCTCCATGAAACAGGGTTAAAGTTGTAGTGGTTTTGCTACATTCACATTGGAATGCATTTGGAAAACTGATCAACTATTTGAAATAATAATAATATAGGATTCTATGTTTTTTCCTTCGGATGTAGGCCTAATCCGTATTCTGCATAAAAACAAAAAACAACCTGAATAAGTATTTAAGAGTTATAGAACTTCATCTCTTTCAGTAGCAGCCCATATCTAAAATGACCAGGCCCTTTTCTTACTAAGATATGCATTCTCTACAGAAACATAAGGAACAATCGTTGTTTACCAAGTAACTTTGCGAATTAATTTTGCTTATACTATTCTTCTAACAGAAAAACAGACATAATTGGAAGTTTGTTCTGATAAACTATTTTATGGAGAATAATGTTTACATTTCCGAGACCCAACGGGCATTAGAAAAGGCGTAGGTATGAAAAGATGTTAAAATTCAGTGGCTCCTCACTGTCATATCCTGTACTATATTCAAACATTTTTGAATGCTAATATTTAATTATACTAAGGCAAAGCAATTGTTCATAAGCACTCTAGATGAATATAATCAAATAAGAATTTCTGAAAAAATAATGTATTGACTGACAGTAATATAATCTAGTTTTGTGGCTTTGCTTCATTAGTAAACAGTTCATCAGGAGACAACTGTGTATTTTATTAACATATTCATAAATATATCCATGTGCTGTGAGCAATCTGGTACAATTTTAATGAAAACAACTGGGACCACCCATCTACTCATTCTGTCCCTTTCCAATTAAGGAAAGCCTTTGATTGGGAACAGCAGATAAACAACTTCAGAGTTGGGGAAAACCAATAAAAAAATTAAAATTTCAATGTTTGGGATCTCCTACAAAAAAGCACATTTCTCCTATTCCCTCACAGTTTAACAGGGGACTCCAAACTTGGGCATCTTTGCTCATCTCAAGTGCTGCATCATACAAGCAAAGGTCTAAGGGAAATAACCAGAATCTAACGTTTTACTAAGCCGTTTCCAGAAATAATGTGCATCTGACAATAGAGCTGACTCCCTATTGGTCTAAATAACCTTGTACAATAATAAAAAAAAATAAGGATTTTAAAATGCCAACAAAAACACAACTAGTACAAAAAAAAAGGTCTAGTTAATACTAAATGAACACCAAAAACGCACCCCCCCACTTCCAATTTCTTTAAAGTAGTTTTTTAAGCATGCATTCAATTCATTAGTTTAACACAAGAGGGGAACAGAAATCTATACTGGCACAGTTAGAGCGGTGATATTGACTGGCCTTTTTGAGAAATGGCCTCTGAACCCAGAAAAGCAGTATACAGCAACTTAATTGCTTAAATATTCAAATAATATAGCAAAGAATATGCACTCTCCTTTGCCAAATGGTGTCAAAAAGTACTGAGAAATAGGGCAAAAGAGATCAAAGCAAGTACATAAATTCATCACTTTACCACATCAAATATATTTTTATGCTTGCATTTAGTCTGGCTTATAATTTACTTTCAGTTTTAGTCTGAAGATAAAAATTGAACTATGAATTTGGAGAATGTATAAGAGTAGGAAAAAAAAGTCTTACTTCAAGAAGCTTCTTATGTGCTTTTTTTTACATAATTACTCACATTTTGATTTTAATATAACTGCAGAAATAATACAATTCTGACACAAAACATAAGGCCCTAATAAGATACAGTATCTGCAGATCAATTTTATCATCAGATGTATTTTTTCTATTATTATTATCACTATTATAAAAACTGTCCACTTTTAGGCTGGTTTGGCAGGTATAGTTAAGCTGTAACAGGAGATATGCATCCAATGAAGCCTCATTAGCAAGCACATTTATGCAACGATTCCAGAGATGCAAAACAGACCCAAACTTAAAAATCTGAGCAAGGATTCTCAAATTTCAACAGCTTCCTGTAATGCTCTTGCTAATATTCAGTCTAAATATATATCTGTGTGTGCTCCATTTCCTTCTTAGGTAATATTTTCAACTACAAGACAATATATTTATAAAAGAATACCTTGAGTGCCAACAATCTCCATATGAAGATGTGCAAGTCCACTGGCAGTTGACAAAGCTAATTTTATCATTCCTTCCACAGTGACTGTATATCTGTTCAGATAATCAAAGAGTGATCCATGCTCATGGTAATCTGACACAAGCCAGAGCTGAGTCCACGTACCATTGTCTGGAAAATAAGATATTTGGAGTAAATACCATAAAACTGTCACTTAATCATCATTGTATAAGAGCAGTTTAAGTCCACAGTATATTTTACAGCTCAATGCAATAACATCTTTTTCTCAGGGGTGCACCAATAGAGATTTTGGGGGTCAATACCGATAGCTGATTTTTAAGGAAGCATATTGGCTGATACCCATCCGATTTCCTATAGTGTGGAGAGCTGTATGCAGCTCGTAAGTCAGTTGTGGTACAAGGTGTGGGGTGGGGGGGAAGATTGGTCCAAGCGCCTTTGCCAAGAATCCAGAAACATG